TTTTTATCATTGTTATCTATTAACGGCAAAACATTTATTACTCCGTGAGGAGAGAATTGTCTCATTATAAGTGGTTGCTCAAACTGTTTCCTTTGTTCGTAAGCAGTTTCATAAAAGTACGCTTCGGAAGACGAAGTATGTTTGGATAAGCCACAAAGAGCTTTAAGTTGATTGCTTTTTGGATATTTCAGTTTTACATTCATTGAATCGCAATAACGCAGCTTCAGCAACGTTTTTCAAATATGAAAACACTTCTTGCTGCATTGAGGTACGATTTTCTTGCTATTACACACCACTTAAATATCTGTTCGGCTTCCAATCGAGCACATACTGTTGATTTATTAATTTTTCTCGGCATCTGTTGAATATATAACTCTGAATATTTTGGAAACTTAAAACACTTTTGCCAAGATCGAACAGTATTACATTTTTCCTTCATTCTCTTGAACATTTTCCATCTTTGTACGATAGACTTCTCGGCACAGAAAGAGAGTGAAAGAGGACAAAGAAGAGTGAAAGAGGACGAAAGAGGGTGAGAGAGGGCGAAAAAGGGTGAAAGAGGGCGAAAAAGGGTGAAAGAGGGCGAAAAAGGGTGAAAAAGGACAAAGAGGATGAGAAGAAATGAAAGAGGTTGAAAGAGGACGAAAGAAGGTGAAAGAGGGTGAGAGAGAATGAAAGAGAGTGAAGAGGGAATGAAAGAGGTTGAAAGAGGACGAAAGAGGGTGAAAAAGGGTGAAAAAGGACGAAAGAGGGTAAGAGGGAATGAAAGAGGGTGAAAGAGGACGAAAGAGGGTGAGAGAGAATGAAAGAGGATGAGAGAGGACGAAAGAGGGTGAAAGAGGACGAAAGAGGGTGAAAGAGGACGAAAGAGGGTGAAAAAGGACGAAAGAGGGTGAAAGAGGACGAAAGAGGCGAAAGATGGTGAAAAAGGACGAAAGAGGGTGAAAGAGGACGAAAGAGGCGAAAGATGGTGAAAAAGGACGAAAGAGGGTGAAAGAGGGCGAAAGAGGATGAAAGAGGGAATGGAAGAGGGTGAAAGAGGACGAAAAAGGGTGAGTTAGGGCGAAAGAGGGATGGTGGAGGGGGGTGGGGTTGAGGGAGGTGGAGGGGTTGTGGGTGGGAAAGGGGTGGGTGGAAGTTGAGGGAGGTGTGAGTGAAAGGTGAGAAAAGATTGTATATATTGCTTAATATTTCGCGGCGCGGGATATTCCAGGATCGGTCGCGTCTTTTCGGGATCTACGGTGGGGCCCTCTCGTTGCACACTAAACCCTAAATAACGCACCCGAGAGCGACAAAATTCGCATTTGTCCGGGTTAACGGTAAGTCCAGCGGTAACTATCTTGTTTAAAACTTTCTTTAGCCAAATCATATGATCTTTGAACGTAGGCGTGACTATCACGATATCGTCCAGGTATGCGAACGCGTGAGGCTCCATTTCGGGGCCTAATAACCGATCTAATAAACGTTGGAAAGTAGCCGGAGCCCCCGTAAGTCCATATGGCATTCGCGTAAAATGATATAATCCCATCCCTGGAACACTAAATGCGGTAATCTCTCTACTATTTTTGGCTAACGGTATCTGAAAATATGCCTGGCTCAAATCGATCGTTGAAATATATTTAGCCGATCGTAATTTGTCCAAAATCCCGTTCATATTTGGCAATGGGTACGCGTCTTTTTTTGATACCCCGTTAACTTTTCGGAAATCCAGGCAAAAGCGGTATTTACCGTTCGGTTTCTTGACCATCACTATCGGATTCGACCATTTGCTATAGGATGGCTCTATAATTCCCGCCGCGAGCATTTTTTCAGTCTCCGCCCGTATCGCTTCCTGTACTTTTGGCGATACTAAATAGCAACGTTGCTTAATCGGGGGGCTCGGATCTACGTCTATGGTGTGCTCTGTTAGTGCGGTAACTCCGGGGGTGTCCGTGATTGGCGGTAGCGTTTGTAAAAATTTTCCCAGGGTTTGTTCTTGCGTGGGCGTCAAGTCGGATAACCCACAGCACGATATCCCCTGCCTACCTTCGGTAGTGAGACGGTAACGAATGTGTGGCGTCTGCGTAAAATGCCATTCGCTTGTGGCAAAATCTATCGCTATTCCGAACTTCGTTAAAAAATCAATCCCGAGTATACACGGTACGGCTAAATTCGGTAACAACCCAACGGTAATTTCACGGCATCTATCCTCTAATTGTATCGGTATGGTGGCCTCGGCTATAATATCCGCGAGCTGACCGTTCGCGGTTCGGATCTGAATTCCTCTAGTGCGCGACGTCGGGATGTTTAGCGCGTCGATAATTTTCATTCCCTCGCGGCCTACCAAGGTACGATTCGACCCCGAGTCCACGAGAGCCGTGAGGCTATGGCCGCGTATCATAACGCAGAAGAAACGTAAAGACGGTAATATTTCTTCCCCGACGGTAACATAAGAATAATTGCAGGTCTTGTTCTTAAAACTCGGAGTCGTAGGGACCCCCTCTACGGGCTCCGGTTCGCGTTTCCCGTACACTTTGTACACGTTTGCACGGTAACATCCGGTTTCCCGCAGCGATAACAATATTTTCGGCGAGGTTCCGCACACCCGCGTGCGCGATGTCCGGTCTTGTTACAATTCCAGCATTTTATTATGCTGGCGTTGTTTACAGCCGGACTTACGGTATCCCCGGAGACGGTATCTGAGACGGTAGCCGCCGCGGTAATTGGGGCTCCGATATTCGCGGTCGTATTCTTTGCGGTCTTCCTCTCTTTTCGAGTCGCGGTCGCGGCCGCAACGGTAATCGGGGCTCGCGTTTTCTCTTTTGGCGCGTGATACGCCAAATCCGGGAAGATAGACTGTTTGGGCGGTAACGGGGGACGGTAATTTTTTTCGGCCAGAAAACTACGCTCGACTCGCGTCGCCAAATATTCGAGCGTCGAAAAATCCTCGAATTCTTGTCGCCGGATCGTAATTTGCAACTTTGGTAACATATTGCGATGCGCGAAATTTAGCTGCTCCGCCAGGGGCCACTGAGGGGACATCCGACTCAACAAAGCCCTTAAGCATGTCAAATAATCGGTCGCGCTCTCAAATTCTCCCTGCGTTCTACGGAAAATTTCGTCTCGGAGCGCATATTGATAATCGGGGTCTCCAAATCTCCCTCTCCAGGCAGTCTCGAAATCCCGCCAATCTCTCCAATTTTCTGCTTCTAATCTCACCCAATATAAAGCGGTATCCGATAGAAACAACGGTAGGCACTTAAACAGATCCGCGTCCGAAATCGGTACAATGGGCCGGGCCTTCTTAATGCGTAGCAAAAATGCCTCCGCGTCGCTACCCCGTTTCCCCGAGAAGTGTAAATTCCACTTCCTCATAAGGTTATATGCCTCCGCGGTGGAAGCTCGTCCGGGTCGCGGGTTATTCGCCTCTGAAGCGGGATCGCGGTATCTAACTCGCGGCCTAACCGATTTTCGTTCCACCTCCTGTATCCCCTCGAATGACTCGAATAAGGGGGGTGTAGGATCGGCTGCGGCCCCCTCTTCTAAGGGGTTCCTACTTAGTAAAGGGTCCGATACCCTTCCGGGGGTTCCCTCCTCTGTCGCCATGTGCCCTCTCGCTAGTCCCTCCTCGTATTGCAACAATCGCGCCCTTAATACCGGCACAATACCCTGGATACTCAGGTTCCTATCAGCTAAGTGATGTCGCGCTTGACTCTCCGTTAAGCTTTGTATCCACCGGTGTGGATCGCTGCCTGGCCTCATCGGTAACTTTAAACGGAACGGTGATAAAATCGGAAAGTTTGAATCCAGTTGAGAGTAAACCGAAGCAAAACTGTTAAAAGTGAGTAGTTAATTTAAGAAACGAGAGGAAAAAGAAAAAAAAATTTTTGTGAACGGGAGTCAATAATCATAAAATAATAATAAAATTAATAATAAAAAAAAAATTATATTGAGTGTTGATCCGCACTAATGATTTGAAATAATCCGAAAGAGAGAAAAAAAAATAAACGGAATGAAAAGGAATAATAATAATAATAATCCCAGAGCTATAAGAAATTAAAAATAATAATAAATTCAATACGAAAAAGGAAAAAAAATAAAAACAGACAAAACACCAAAAAAAAATTATTTGCTAAGAGGTTTCGGTAACTAGACTTAAAAAAAAATAAAAAAACCAAAAAAAATTATAATAATAAATCGCGATATTAAACAGGAAAAATAATAACTTTCAGTCACGAAGTGAAGATTATAAAAGAAAAGAAGAGAAAAAAAATAATAACTTCAACAATATAAAAAGAGAAAGAAATTAATAACAATGACTCTAACAATATTCGATAAGAAAGACGGAAGGAAGAAAAAAAATTATACTAACAATAAGTACGTTTACCTCTCAACGGTTGACTCAAGGTACCCAAAAAAAGAAAACGAGAAAATAAAAACTCTACTGTTGTTCCAAAAAAGTAACACGAAAGAACGAGAGAGCAAAAAAAATGATAATATCTCATACAAAACAAACGACTAAATTCGGTATCCGTGTATAGGTCGAAACGGTATCAAGAGGCCAGGGTACTCGCCCTAAAGCTGAGTAACGGTATCCACGCACAACAAACAAAAACAAGCAGAAAAAAAGAAATTTTATATATCTAAAATCGAAAATATTGTAAGAAATCGAAATTATTAATGTAAGAATTTAATAAAGTATTTAATTACGGATGACCGTTAAAAGTTTTAACTGTTCTTAGAAAGCGCGGAAAGTACGAAGGTTTGAGAAAGGTGTTTGAAAGTCACTCAACAAAATATTCACGTAAAGACAAAGACTGCTATTTATTTCGTAAGACTCCCGTATACAAAAATCAACTATCTTTTAGGTATACTGTTCGAAGGAGAGTCCCGGGTTTCTCAGCTCGCTAGCTTAAATACCCTTTTGACTCTCCCGCGCGCGCCGCTCTAGTTTGCGCCCTTTACGCTTATCGCCGAGGGCAGCAGTTATCGGGGACAGATAGCTGTCGTATCGGCGCGTGCGCAATCAGCCGATCGGTGGCGATTGCTTTCAGCTCGGCCATGCTGCAATTAATTTCGTCTCGAAATTATAATTTTTTTTTTTTTTTAATATTAAGTAGTACCGCTTATTATTTTAACAGGTACGTATTCTATTTATTTTACGCAGGTACGTATTACATTAATAAAAAATTTTTTTTTTTTTACACTTATTAACATTAGACTATACAATACAGATTATTTACCTTGGCGACTACCTATTAATCGGTCTCTTTTTTCCCTATTTTTATCCAAGGTTTTATTCTATCTGCGGAAAGGATCGTATCCAGGGGTTTCTGCTTAATATTAAAGCCTCGGATGTCCTTAACGACATAGCGACTATTGCCCAGACTTTTTGCAATAAGGTAAGGCCCCTTATAATTTGGTTTGAGCTTTGAGCTCGTACCTATTTTGGGGGCAGTGTCCCTTATCAAAACGTACTCCCCTGGTTTATATCGCGTTGGCTTGATACTGTGAGTATCTTTGTATTCTTTATTGTATGCTCTCACAAGGTCTGTTGCTCGTGAAGCATTGTCCCTATTAATATCTCTCTCTTTTTCTAGGTCCTCATCGACGGTGACAAGGGCCTTCGTGAAATTGGCTAGAGAGTGATCCGAATGGCTGCGTTGGTCAAAACCTAACATTAGTTTTGCTGGACTTGATTTAGTCACAGTGTGGTACGTATTGTTGATCACGTATTGCATTCTCCCTAAATAATTTTTCCACTCATCTGGCGCATCGATGAGCTTGGTTAGCGATGATTTTAAGAATCTGTTCACTCTTTCAACTGTGCCATTTGCCCAGGGTGCTGCTACGGCCACCTTGCGGTGCTTGATACCTTTGTCCGATAATAACTCTATGAATTCTTTAGAGGTAAAGGTGGTTCCTCTATCCGATATCACTTCCATAGGATTGCCAAAACTTGTGAAAATATTTTCTAAGCATGTAATTGATTCTCTACTACTGGTTGTTTTGTTGGGAAACAACCAGGTGAATCTGGTGAAAGCATCTATCACTACTAAGATATATTTGTATTTTTCTACAGTTTCCTGCAGTGGACCGAAGTGGTCTACATGCAACGTATTTAACGGAACCTTGGGCAAAGGATGCAGTTGAGTTTCCCTTTTGAACCTGTTAAGCGCGTTATTGGCTGTAAGACAGGTAAGACAATTGTCTATGTGTTCTTTTACGCGCTTCCTCATGGTGGGAAACCAATAGTTTTTTAAGATTCCGTTTACTGTTTTTTCTACTCCGCAATGAGCCATCTCGTTATGATAAATTCTCATTATATTGGATATCATCGACTCCGGAATTACAAATTTCAGTTCGTTATCGATTTTCTTATAAACCAATCCGTCTACTAATGCGAATTTATCATTATGCTCTAGTTCTAACGTTTTACTAATTTCTAGGATATTCGAATCCGCAAGCTGAAGGAACTCAAGTCGTCTCTCCAGCGGAAGTTCGTCTATGTGTGCGACACTTCGACTAAGTGCGTCTACATGTGCCATGCGACTACCTGGACGATGTATGATGTCGAACGAGTAATTTTGCAGCGCGAGAGTCCATCGAGCTATTCGCGGGTTTAGGTTTGCTTTATTTACGGCATATACTACTGCGTTACAATCTGTTACAATTGTGAACCGCGTGCCATATAAGTATATGTGAAACCGCTCAACTGATTTAACGATTGCTAACATTTCCAGCTCGTAGCTGTGATACCTGCTCTCTGCTGCGTTCGTACCTTGACTAAAATACGCAACTGGACCCCAGGAATTATCGCGTCGCTGGAGAAGGATCGCTCCGAACCCTAAGCAACATGCGTCTGTGTAACTGGGTTTCGGCCGCCGGATCGTACAGTCTCAGCAACGGAGTGGCAGTCAGCTCCTTTTTCAAAGTTTCGAATGCTTGCGCGCAACGTTCGTCAAAATTGTATACAACGTCTTTTTTCAAAAGATTCTGTAGTGGTTTAGCTTTCAGCGCGAAATCTTTAACAAATTTTCTGAAATAACTCGCGAGTCCTAGAAAACGTTGTAATTTTAATTTGTCGGACGGTTCTCTATATCCTGTGATCGCGTCCACGTGACGGGGGCTTAATGTAATCCCGTCCGCGTTTATTATGTATCCCAAAAATTCTATCTTCTTCCTTAAAAATTTACATTTTCCGAAATTTAGCTCGAAGCCGTGCGTTTTCAATATAACGAGAACTTCTTTTAGTGTGTCAAGATTTTGCTCTATTGTTACAGACTGTATTAGCACGTCGTCTATATAGACTATTACTTTGTTTTCTCTGATTAACGAATTAAGGATGCTAATTAGTCTTTTCTGAAATTCGGCCGGTGCCTCGCAATAACCGAATGGCAACCGGGTAAACTCGAATTGACCGTCCGGGGTCGCGAATGAAAAGTACTTCATGGAGTCTTCATGGACTCTGATTTGATGAAAACTATCTTTTAAGTCCAATAATGAAAAAACGCGACTTCCACTCAATCGCGATAAGCATTCTTCGATTACCGGGAACGGATACTTTTGCTTGATCACACGATTGTTCAACGGTCGCAGATCAACACACAAACGCATCTTACCATTTTTCTTTTTCACAGGTACGACCCGCGCGCAATAAGGCGAGACGCTCGGCTAATAATACCTCGCTCTAGGAGGTCGTCTGTGATTTGCCGGATCTGCGTTCGCTCTACATTTGCGAAGCGCCTGGGTGCGAACGCATAGATTGACGGATCTCTCAAATGTACACGCACTGAGAAGTCGTCGTTTACAGGTGACGTGTCCTGTTCTTGTATCTCTAAAATAATTTTTTGCAACTTTATTTTTGTTTCGCGCCCGAAGTCTATTTTATGTTCCTCGAGTATTTGTTTTAAACTCAAGTCCTCGTCAATATACAAAGGCAAATTCGCAAACATGTTTATTCGGTCATGTTCACCTTGCGCCGCCGGTTCGTATATTAGAGTGATATTGTTTTTCGACAAAAATTCTCTCTTAAGTATAATGTCGCCCTTGAACGCGTCGGAGTGCAAAACTTATAACCGTATTGAAAATGTTTTGTCGCTAATTTTTTTCACAGTTATCTGAGCGTCCACCAACCCGAGTATTTTCAACGGGACGTTCGATAGATTACGTAAATTTGTTTCAACCGATTTGAGAACGCAAAATGGCGCAATAAATTTTTCATATACGCTATTTTTTATTAGCGAAACCGGGCTATCCGTATCTATAAGTCCTAACAAATCGCATGAATTTCCTAAAATTTCGTTTATAGAAATCAACGGGTCGTCGACGGTCGACTTGCACGCTTCCTGTGTTGCCGCCACGAAATCGGATGCTACCTCGTCCGCGGTCACGTTGGCTGCAGTGATTCCCGATGCAGGCTGCGCCCTGGTCGCCGACTTCGACTCCTTTTTCTTTAATGCGGGGCAATCAAACCGACGATGCCCCTTCTCTTTACAGTAGAAACAAGTGGTCTCACCTCTACAGTCCTTGTGAGTATGCCCTCTTTTACCACAATTTCTGCAGGCTGACTCCTTGCCGCCCTTGCTGGACTGACCCTGCTGCGCTGGTTTCCGGTCCCACTCGGAGGCGCCCTGAGTGATACGCCGCATCCTCTCCAGGAAGCCGTCCACCGTGTCCTCCGATAGTGACAGCGCGGTCGCCTTCAAAGTGGTGATGGTGATTCCGCTCACCAACAGATGCACCTTGTCCGCCTCGGGAAGGTCCACTCGATGCAGCATTGCCAGTTTTTCTATGGCATAATCGTCGAAGGTTTCCTTTGCAGGAAGCCATTTTCGTGCCTCTATTTTTTGCATTACACGAAAGAACGAAATTTTCCGATCGAAAATCTTAACTAACTCTGTTCGCAGGCCGCTCCAGGATTTCACCGCGGCGTCTCCCTGCAAGTCGTACCACCGGCGAGCCGATTTGGTGAGGCGGCTGGAGGCTGCTAAGAGAATCGCCCCGTCTGTAACGTTGTGGACCTGGGCGACTTTGTCCACCCGTCGGACCCACGCGTGCACGTTATCATCCTCTTGGCCCGCGAATTCCGGGATTTGCAAAGCCAGTGCCTGGATTGAACCTGTCGGCGTCCAGGACTCCGCCGTCCGACGGTCCACATCGTCCGTCGGTGACACTCTCGGGGCCCTAGAAGGACCCGGCGAAGAGACAGACTCCGCATCTAGTGGCAGAACCGGGACAGCGGCGGGCTCTCGTCGCTGCTCCATCACAAAGTTAAGTAGCATGTTCAATTGTTGCTGCTGCTGTTGCTGCTGCTGCTGCTGCTGCTGGATAGTCACCAGCATCTGTCTTATCATTTCTGTCATTTCCAGAGACTCTGTGGCCGTCGCCGAAGTTTCTGACGACCCTGCTGCCCTAGCCGGTGCCGCCTTTTTATTCTGGGTCCTACTTGGTGGTGCTGTGAGCTGAGCCAACTCCTGGACCGGCTCGTGCCGCTCTAGATGACTCATAATTGAGTCCACCAAGTGGCTACGGCCTCCCGCTGTCGGGAGAGCGTATTTATCCGCTTCCTCGCGAAGCTCCTCCATCGTGAGGTTCTCCAGAGAGGCCCTGTCCATTGTAATTCACGCGCGTGTCCGCATACACGAATCTAATCGAGCGAATAAATCGACACTTTGTTTTAAGACAAAAACAGTTCTTATTTATTCAAAAGAAACACCCGTGTCTCGATGGATACTCCGCACGCATCCCACTTCTGATGTTGTAAGAAATCGAGATTATTAATGTAAGAATTTAATAAAGTATTTAATTACGGATGACTGTTACAAGTTTTAACTGTTCTTAGAAAGCGCGGAAAGTACGAAGGTTCGAGAAAAATGTTTGAAAGTCACTCAACAAAATATTCACGTAAAGACAAAGACTGCTATTTATTTCGTAAGACTCCCGTATACAAAAATCAACTATCTTTTAGGTATACTGCTCGAAGGAGAGTCCCGGGTTTCTCAGCTCGCTAGCTTAAATACCCTTTTGACTCTCCCGCGCGCGCCGCTCTAGTTTGCGCCCTTTACGCTTATCGCCGAGGGCAGCAGTTATCGGGGACAGATAGCTGTCGTATCGGCGCGTGCGCAATCAGCCGATCGGTGGCGATTGCTTTCAATATCAACTTATCCAACCTCTTTAGAAGTCGGAACAAAACCCAACACGGAAAGCGAGAAGGCAAAAGAAACAAAGGTATCCCTAACAATAATATATTTCTATCTTTCCCTCGGCTTGTTATTGCTAACGATAATCGCAAGCACGGCGGTGAATAACCGAAAATCTCCGGATGGTCATAAAAATAAACGAGACCACCGGGCAAAAAAAAACACAAGATAAACGAAGCAAGCTCAAATATTCAACAAGCGAAAGCACCGGAACGGTATTCGGTACTCAGATATACAGTAACAAAAAAAAATTCACAAAATATTCGGTATCAGGCTTAAAACAAAAGGTCGAAAAGAGAAAAAAAACTGCGCAAAATTATCGGCACTTTCCCCTCAATAAGTATTTTAATAAAACGGTACTTAGCGCTCTCAATTACAGCGTCACGGTATCGAAATCGGCCTATTCCCTATGGCTCACAAGTTTCAGAAGCGAGGACCGCGGGCGAAATTACTCACCCAAAATAAATTCCCCAATCCTCAAATCTTCCCTTTACAGCTATCA